TAAAGTAAATCTTGAATTGAGTGTTTTTTAAAACTATAGCTTAATACCATATAGTGGCTAATTGAGCAGGGAAGCTTGCAAGATAAATCTTGAATGAGATGATATGGTCACCGGACAGAGTGATAATCGCCGGTAGTCACTGGGCAGCTTCGACCTCTGAAGAATTTGCTTGAACCCTAGATTCTGAATCGGAAGAGTGAAAGATCGAGTATATACTGAGGAGCTCTTTGGCAAAGGAGCAGCACACACACGTCTGAACAGTGCCAAGGTGCTCCCTGTCAACAGGATGGTTCGCCACGGGAGTTCAACGGAAGGCGGCAACAGAATGCACTAAATAAGAGTTTCCGTCCAACTGTTTTAACGGAAATGGAACATCTAACTACCTTAGGCATTTAATATATATAGTAAGATATAATATAGCATAGGATATTTCACTATAAAATATCCTCCCAGGTTGTGGAGAGTGATTCGAATACTCGATTACTCTACCATTTTTGTAGTCAAGCTTTCTCATTCTAACTTCTCTCTAGAACATTCATACCCCTGGTCCTAAGGACCACCGGTCGGGTTAAACCGCTCTCACTCATGACAAAAGAAATGTGTAAAGCTCAGCTAAGACTCAAATTAGTTTTGTGCAACATTAATGTATATGTGGCAGGAGCACTATTGTTAAAAGAGAAAAGGAATGTTATTAGTATTTTTTTTTTACGCAGATAGATCAATTGCTATACGATGATAAAACTATCAAATAAGCCCTTGTACTATACCGAAAAAGTCAATTAGGCCCTCGTACTTTACAAACACTCAATTAAGTCCTCGAACTATTAAAAAACGTTCAATTAAGCCCTTTCGGTCAGTAAGTAACCGGTTTTCCGGTTAAATGTAACCTGTTTCCCGGCAGCCGCCGTTGCTGGGATTCGAGCACATCGTCGCCGTCGTCGCCGTTTAACCGGGAAACCGGTTACTTACCGACCAAAAGGGCTTAATTGAATGTTTTTTAATAGTTCGAGGGCTTAATTGAGTGTTTGTAAAGTACGAGGGCCTAATCGACTTTTTCGGCATAGTACGGGGGCATATTTGATAGTTTTCCCATTGCTATACCTATAAGGCTATAACTCTAGGAGGAGATGTTAATGCATAGTTGGGTATCTAATTCTCTTTAGGGAAAAGGGGCAAATAAGCTCTCGAACTAATAAAAAAGTGCAAATAAGTCCTTTTGTAGGAGGTTCTGTCCGATTATCGTCATTTGGGGAGGTTCTCGGTGGAATTTTTTGATGAATATTTTTGAGCATCTTCTTCATTAAGTCTAGTTTAGCCATACCAAATTTCAACTAAAAATTCAACCAGGAAGGCACTCAAATGATTTTCGGAAATATACTGCGTTGTTTAACTGCGCAATTATCTTCAAAAATTTATTTGACTGTCTTCCCGATTGAATTTTAAGCTGAAAATCGGTATGACTAAACTAGACTTAATGAATAAGATGCTAAAAAAATTTCATCAAAAAATTCCACCAGGAACCTCTCCAAATGACGATGGACAGACGAAACCTCCTACAAAAGGACTTATTTGCACTTTTTTGATTAGTTCGAGGGCTTATTTGCCTCTTTTCCCTTCTCTTTATGGTTTCATTAGTTGATCCAACCACTATTCATAGTTTTTATACTCCCTCCGGTTCTAAATAAACTTCACACTTTCCTTTTTTGGACGGTCCAAAATAAATTTCGCACTTCCTTATTTCCTTATTTGGCAAAGAAACCTACATCAAAACAGTGCTAAACAGTGTCAAACAGTGTCTCAACAGTGCCAAACAGTGTCTCAACAGTGTACTTTACAGTAAAGTCAACTTTGTTTCCTTAATAACTGTGAAGTCAAACACTGAAGTTTAAAAAGATCCGGAGGGAGTATTCTATAAACTTGACCATTGTCAAGTGCACATTCGTCATCTTCGGATAATCTTTTCTGGCAATTTCTTATCTAAATTTTTATGTTACATCCTGTTTTAGGCAATGCCTATTATTCAACCATTGTAATCTTTATTTTGATTTGATAAAAAATAAACTTATCACCAAAAGATATTACGAACAATTCCTCAAATAGAAAACATGGATTACATTTTTTTACTTTTTTTTAAAGCACTCAGGTGGTGTTCTGTTCGTCTTATTCTTATTACTTATTACTTATTCTTATTTTATTCAGATCAGATCAGATCAGATCAGAAAAATTCAGATCAGATCAGAAAAATTCAGATCAGATCAGATCAGATCAGAAAGATTCAGATCAGATCAGATCAGATCAGAAAGATTCAGATCAGATCAGATCAGATCAGAAAGATTCAGATCAGATCAGAAAGATTCAGATCAGATCAGACCAGATCAGAAACATTCAGATCAGATCAGAAACATTCAGATCAGATCAGATCAGAAAAGTTCAAACATGATTTATCACTTTTATTATTATATTAATTATTATTATTAATATTGTTATTACTATTATGATTATTATTATATAATTATTATTAATAATATTAATAATAATATGATAAAAAAAATAAGATATTAATATAGTTATAATATTTTAATATAATAATAGTAATATAAATGCAATTATTAAGAAGACTATTATTATTACAATATTATAATAATAATAATATGATTAATATTGTTATAGTATTATATTATAATTATATGTAATTATAATTATACTTACAATTATAATTCTTATAATTATAAGTATATCAATTGTAATTATTATAATTATATCTATAATTAATTATAATTGTAATTGTAATTAATTATAATTATAATAATTATAATTACAATCATAATTATAATTATGATTATAATTATAATTATAATATAATAATATAATAATATAATACTAATTATAAAAATATTATTATTATTATTATGTTATTGTTATAATAATATCGTTATAATAATATTAATTGTATTTATATTACTATAATTATATTATAATATTATAATTAATTTTAATATAATTATAATTATTATTAATTATAAATATACTTATAATTATATTATAGTTATAATTTATTATTATAATTATTATTTTTATTATAATTATTAATATTATTATTATTGTTACTATTGTAATTATTTTACGGAGTAATTATAATAATATTGATAACTATAGTTACAATTATAGAGATAAATATTGTAGTTATAATTACAATTATAATTATATAAGTAATTATAATTAAAAATATAATTACAATTATAATTATATCTATATTTATAGTTAGTGTAATATGTATAAATTTTTTCATTTTAAATTTAATTTTAATTATTATTATTATTTTTATAGTTACGATTATAATTATAATTTTATTTAAGTTATATTTGTAATTGCAATTATAATAATTATAATTATAATTATAATCATAGAAATATTCAAATCGGATCAGATCAGAAAGATTCAGATCAGACCAGAAGGATTCAGATCAGATCAGAAACATTCAGATCAGATCAGACCAGATCAGAAACATTCAGATCAGATCAGGAAGATTCAGATCAGATCAGATCAGAAAGATTCAGATCAGATCAGATCAGATCAGAAAGATTCAGATCAGATCAGATCAGATCAGAAAAATTCAGATCAGATCAGATCAGAACTTAAAAAATTCAGATCAGAAACATTCAGATCAGGCGAAGAGAACAGCTTCTCAACCTTTCAAAATACATATACACTTTTTGTATCTCCAAAAATGATTGTTCTTTTATTGTTGTTACCCAACTCTAAACACTCTTCTACTCCTACACGTTTTCCTCTTGAGATATTATCCAAAATGGGACTAAAAAAGTTTGGAAATTCCAAAATAGGACTTCCATGTTTTTATTCCCAAAATAGGACTAATTACTGTCATGTTTTGGCAGTACCAGACTTCAAACATGGCAGTATTTTCCAAATTTGGCAGTAATTAGTCCTATTTTGGGAATAAAAACATGACAGTCCTATTTTGGAATTTTCAAACTTTTTCAGTCCCATTTCGGGAACTTTCCCTTTCCTCTTTCATAAAGTTTTACACTCCTACCCAATAGTTGTTTTAATTAGGTGCTCAAACGAGTCGAATTCACCTCGAGTTTTGGTGTGCTCGAGCTCGGAAAAATGTACTTGCTCGAGTTTAAGCTCAAACCAGTTTAATTCTTTTGGCTCAAACTCAAATTTGGAGCCCGTTTGGAGAACTCTGATTTCGGTTTATCTGGCTTATCAGCCAGCTTTTTCACCAAACACGTAACTTTTACTTTCGCGCGCTGAATTGTGTAATAAGCCGAAAAAGTAAGGTTGGAGTTACTTTTCTGGCTGTATTGGCTGAAATTACTGTAGAGGACCATTTTAGCTATTTTTACATATAATTTTTTCTTTAATTTATTAATAAAATATATTTTAAAAATATTTTTTTTCTTAAATCAGCAGAATCAGCCAAAACAGCCACTCCAGCCAGAATATCATAAATTTCAGCAGAATCAGCCAAAACAGCCGATTTTGGTGCTACCAAACGGGCTCTTGATCGACTCAAGTTTGGTTGGATGGTTTTTAGAAAAGTTCCAGATCAAATAAGACGCTCGAATTGGAGTTCGAGTTTGAGGCTACAACGAGTATTGTATTTTCAAATTTGTAGTATTATATATACAAATGTAAGCAAATATTTATTTATATCCCACTCGTCTCGTAAATAACTTCCTAGTGTGACTTAAACACATATGCAAGATAAAGTTTCTTCTGAATTTTAATTATAGTCCTATTTTATGTCAAATCAACTATAATGTAAGTAAAAATATGAGTAGTGTTGATTTTTATTGAGATTATTTACTGTTGAGACTATTTACCTCATATTACTCACGCACCATGTGTAATGTTTCCTTATTATTAAGCATGGGTGCATGTGATGTATGGCCCATGCATTATTCTCTTCATTATGCACATCACGTATTGCAATATATATGTAGCATGCATGTCATTGAAATAAACAAGTTACGTATTATTCCTCTTACATGAAGTCTAGCTCTCTCAATACTAGTTCCTATTTTTATCATTAGCTAGTTTATATAAAATTATCATGGTATCAGAGCCAAAACCTGGAAATTTTAATACTAGTTACTTTTGAGATATTTCATTTTCTTTTTCCCTTCCTCTCATATCAACGTGATGGTAATCCCGTCTCATACTCGTACTTGGATAATTGATTCTGGAGCGAGTGAGCATATCACTTGTGATAGTGTAAATCTTTTCAACATTTCTACTCACTCATCTGAACCGGGAGTGAGAATTCCTAATGGGGAATTAGTTCCAGTCACTGCCATTGGTAGCCTGTACCTGTCTAATGGATTCTATCTTCGTCGTGTTCTTTATGTTCCGCAGTTTCAATGCAATCTGCTCTCCGCCGGTCGCCTCACAAGTGAGCTAAATTGTACACTCACTTTTTTCTCAGACTTCTGTATATTGCAGAATTTACCCTCCAGAAAACTAATTGGCAAGGGTGGATTTCAGAATGGTCTTTATTACCTGGAATTACCTAGGGTTGAGAATGTAGCAATGGGAGCTACTCTTGATTCTGATTTATGGCACCGGCGTCTGGGACATGCCTCGAATGGAAAAATACAACACATTTCATTTCTCAAAGGTTTGCAACAGTGCAATAGCTTTTGTGATCCCTGCTTACGAGCTAAACAAACTCGACTACCCTTCCCCAAAAGTACAAGTAAGACTACTTGTTGTTTTGAATTAATACATTGTGATATATGGGGAAGTTATAGATGTGACTCTACTTCAGGAGCACGCTATTTCTTATCCATTGTTGATGATTTTTCTAGAGGTGTTTGGGTTTACCTCATGAAAAATAAATCTGAAGTTTGCCAAAAATTGATACAATTTTGCAATATGGTAGAAACGCAATTTGAGAAAAGAGTCAAACGGATACGTTCAGATAACGGAATGGAATTTCAAACCAAGTTTTTATCTGAATATTATGCCCGTTATGGAATTATTTTGGAAACATCGTGCACAGACACTCCCCAACAAAATGGGGTAGTGGAGCGTAAACACAGACATATATTGGAAGTTGCTAGGGCTCTCCGTTTTCAATCAGGATTGCCTATTGATTTTTGGGGTGAATGCATTCTTACTGCCGTTTATATTATCAATCGGCTACCGTCACCCGTCATTTTAAACAAAAGCCCCCATGAGATATTATTTGGGAAGGAACCTTACTATGAACATCTACGTGTTTTTGGGTGTCTAGTATATGCACACGACAACAAACACAAGGACAAATTTAGTGAAAGGGGGAGTCCTTGTGTATTTCTCGGATATCCCTACGGACAGAAGGCATATAGAGTATTTGATTTGCATAAACAAAATATCTACAGCTCTCGAGATGTCACGTTTTTTGAGAATGAATTTCCATTTAAAATGGTAAATGAGGGAGGAAATAATTTTGAAGATATTGTTGAGCGTGTGTACAAAAAGGTCGTGGGCCACAGCAGTATGGTTTTGCAGGATGATCATGGCACCGGACCGAGCTTCACCCCACATGGCCGAACTTCTGATCGCCACGCAGCAGTGCATCGGCATCAACCGGAACACCTCCCTTCAATGAACTTGGAGCCGGACCACCATCTAGAAGAGATATGTGGATATCCTCTCACAGAGGGGTACACACATGGACCCCAGCAATATCCGGCAACTCAACTCCGGTCACAAAATTATTTTACTCCCGACTGCAGAAAATCAGGCCCTAACACGAGAAGCAACTTGCGGAGAAACGATGCTGGAACAGATGTGGGGTCAGCTCCTCGTCACTTCTCACCCACCGAACAGCAGCCCCCTCCATGTGCGGACCATCCTGGAACGAGCAGCATCACGGGTAGAAATAGTGAAGGCACACATGCTGGGCCAGCCTCCTATCCATTAGTACCCACCGAACAATTCTCTCTGGATGCACTTTTGGACTCTCATGAGACAAACACACAATCCACGCAAGTCAACCTTCCGTTTGGCCCCAATGATGATATACATGGAAAGAAAATTCTGGAACCGCATGCAATAAGTGATTCACTTGATGTGAGCAGTCAAACTCCTACCACGGTCGACATAAGAAGAGGTAACAGGGCTAGACAACTCCCTAAACACCTTACTGATTATGATGTTGACCTACCACCTTCTTTGGACCATTCACGGTTAACCGCAAATCGAGCAGTAATGTACCCAATGTCTAATTTTATAACTTATGAGAGGTTTTCCAATAAACACAAAGCCTTTTTGGCTGCCATCACTTCCCATGATGAGCCAAAACGATTTTCACAGGCAATTTTAGTCCCAATATGGCGAGAAGCTATGCAACGGGAGATTCGTGCTTTAGAAGAAAATGGTACTTGGACTTTGGTTCCACTACCGCCAGGAAAGAAAGTGGTAGACTCAAAATGGGTTTATAAAATAAAATATAAACCTAACGGTGATGTAGAACGCTACAAGGCAAGGTTGGTTGCCAAAGGCTTCACACAAGTTGAAGGAATTGATTTTCATGAAACCTTTGCCCCAGTTGCCAAACTCGTCACAGTACGGTGTCTGTTAGCCGTTGCTGCCAAACGCAATTGGATAGTACATCAACTGGATGTCAATAATGCTTTTCTCCACGGAGACCTTTCCGAAGATGTTTACATGCGTGTTCCGCAAGGATTTAACAAAGATGGCGACACTCGTGTCTGTAAATTACAAAAATCCCTTTATGGCTTGCGTCAAGCATCTCGTAATTGGTATCACAAGTTTACTCAATCACTTCTCAAAATTGGATTTCGTCAATCACGGGCAGATCATTCCTTGTTTATTTTTCAACAAGGTGAGAACTACACATTTGCCCTCATATATGTCGATGATGTCATCCTTGCCGGAAATGATCCGTCTCATATCACTAAAATTAAGGGGTACTTGAATGACCAATTTAGCATCAAAGACTTGGGTACACTAAAATATTTCCTAGGAATTGAGGTCGCTCGTTCTCCCGAGGGGTTTGTACTGAGTCAACGCAAATACACACTTGACATCCTAGAAGAAAGCGGTTTCCTTGCTAGCCGCCCTAGTCAGTTTCCCATGGAACAAAACTTGAAACTTCGGCCTGATGATGATAGCCCGCCAGTTGACGCTTCCTCATATCGTCGCTTGATTGGTCGCTTGTTGTACCTTACTGTGACTCGTCCAGACATTGTCTTCTCTGTTAGTCAGCTTAGTCAATTTCTTTGCCAGCCACGCCAGTCTCATTTCGACGCTGCCACCCGTGTTCTTCGATACTTAAAACAGACTCCGGGACAAGGAATTTTCTTATCTGCGGACACTGATTTCTCTTTGAAAGGTTATTGTGATGCTGATTGGGCAGGTTGCTCTTACACTCGCCGATCTAGCACTGGATATTTTATCACTCTTGGCAATTCCCCAGTCTCTTGGAGGACGAAGAAACAGTCTGTTGTTTCACGTTCTTCCGCAGAAGCAGAATATCGTGCCATGGCCGTCACGGTTAGTGAAATTTTATGGCTACGATGGTTACTTCGAGATCTAACAATTCCCCAAACTGGTCCTACGTCTCTCTTCTGTGATAATCAAGCAGCTCGACACATTGCACTCAACCCCGTTTTTCATGAGCGTACCAAGCATGTGGAAATGGACTGTTTTTTTGTTCGGGAACGTGTCGCTAGTGGCGAAATCCAACCACGTTGTATCACTACAACACATCAGATTGCTGATATTTTCACTAAGGCGCTCGGCACGGACCGATTCCAGTTTCTCAGGAGCAAGTTGGGTGTTCGCAACCTTCACACGCCACCTTGAGGGGGAGTATTGAGATTATTTACTGTTGAGACTATTTACCTCATATTACTCACGCACCATGTGTAATGTTTCCTTATTATTAAGCATGGGTGCATGTGATGTATGGCCCATGCATTATTCTCTTCATTATGCACATCACGTATTGCAATATATATGTAGCATGCATGTCATTGAAATAAACAAGTTACGTATTATTCCTCTTACATGAAGTCTAGCTCTCTCAATACTAGTTCCTATTTTTATCATTAGCTAGTTTATATAAAATTATCAATTTTTGTTAGCGGGAAGTTATTTTCGATCGAAATGAGAATTTTGCTCCATGAGGTTATTTAGGACGAAAAAGAATATTCATATTGAGCAAAAAAAGAATTTTCATACATTCATGAATCACGGTTTAAATATAGTCCAGTTGAGTGCAATTGATTAAAGGTTGTGTTACTTGTACACATAAATTGTACATATTCTGTGTACACTTAGAATTTGTGCACAAATAATTAGGGATTTGTACATAAAAAGTGTACAGCTTATGTGTACAAACAACTTTTTTTAAATGATTAAAGATCTAATTCCAACTTGAATTTGATTGAATCCGATTCAAATTTAAACTTAAAGGGTTAGAACTCGGGAGTGATTCATGAACGAGTTAACTTGACAATAACTTTTTTTAAGGATTGACAATAACGTTATTGTTAACTATTAATAATGGTAGAATGATTCATAATTCTAAAGTTTAAATATATTTTTAGTCCCTGTAAATATAAGACATTTTGTGTTACATCCCTTCAAAAGTATTTTTTATTTTTCGTCCCTGGTTTTCCTTTTAGTCCATCACGTATCATAACAATCTCCGTTTGACCTCAAAATAATCCCGATTGATAGATTTCCTCTAATTCTTCGTCATGTTATTCAAAGAGTATTTGATTTTATTTTTAAGAAGATTGTTAATGTATTTTAATTTTAAAATGTGAATACTTAGTTTTGTATTATTTTAACACTCATATTAGCCTTAAAAAAACATAAAAGGACAAATTTAAAATTTTCTAATAGATTTGTGTAATTGAAAATAACTTCTTTTGTAAGTTGAGAAGTTTCGGGATAAAAGATGGATTAAAAACAAAATAGTGCATATTGCAAGGATGAAAAACAAGAAAACTATTTTGCATGGACTTAAAACAAAATGTATCATATTCGGAGGTACTAAAGACGCATTTAAGCCTAATTCTAAAAAAATGATGCACAATTAAGAGTTCGTTTGGTAACTCTGTTTTTCATACTTATGAACCAACTTTTTAAGTTTTAACCAAGCACGTAACTTCTGATTTTGCGCGCTAAATAGTGTGGTACTCCGTAATAAGAAAAAGTAAGGTTGGAGTTACTTTTCTAGCTTTATTGGCTGAAGTTACTGTAAATGATTATTTTAGCTACTTTTTCATATAATTTTTTCTTTATTTTATTAATAAAATATATTTTAAATATAATTTTTTCATAAATCGTCAGAATACGCCAACGGAATCCTTCAATCAGAATTTCAAAAAATCCAGTTGAATCAATCGATTCAACTGATTTTAGTGTTATGAAACGTGCTCTAAATTAGAAACAAACTAAAAACGGATTTTGTAATACTACGTACATTAAGTTCATCCGTTATTTCAACATTTTCCTTCAATGTTTTTATACTCCCTATATGTTTACTACTCCGTAATAATTAATGACGGTTAAAAAGAAAAACAAAAAAGTGAAAAACATGAATTTTGTTGATCACAGCATCTGAAGGCGAGTACCTGGAAGGAGGATGAAAGTCGAAAAGTAATGGACGAGTCAAAAAACTCATCATTCGTCAGCAGCAGACTCGTTTTGGCCTTGCTTTACGCATTCACTGCTCCACTTTTCTTCCCTTTGTTCACACCCGCCCTTTTTGCCCATTCCGATTAACCCTATCCTTCTCCACCAAGTATGTGTATAAATCATCTCCATCTCTGTCAAACAACACCTCAAATGAATCAAAGATTGAAATCTTAGGGTCGAAGAAATGATCATCAAAATGATCACAAGACCTTTCGGGATTTCCAGATAGAGCGCGAAGATGGACATGATTAAGGGTTACTCTTTCTTTGCTCTCTTCCTCGTTTTGACCATTTGCATCAGCTCAAAGACAGCAGCTTCTGTGCGCTCTAAAGATCCTCTCGAAGCCATTCTTGGTAATTCAATACTCTTGTAAAAAGTCATTCTTGAGTGATTTCCTGATTTACCCATCAGGGTTCTTGATCGTTTTTAGCTGTTTACTCTAGTGGGATAGAAATTACTCACTGAAACGGAAAATTATACTTTATTTACCTTATATATGTTGTCACTTTCTACGGGTCTCGAAATAGCATGAAGCTAGATGAAAGGTGGTGAATTATGAAGTCATCTTCCATTTCAATTTTGACATCTATTTATGGGAATTGAAGGCTTGATCTTTTCTTTTTAAAGATAGTTTATTGATTTCCCCACTGCAATTCTGTTGTACTGAGTACTATTATTCTACTTCTAAGTTCTACCCAAATCTATACAAATGAAAATTTACAAGCGGGTTTAGAAAGATACATTTCTTGATCTTTTATTCTACAGACTGTGAGTTACTATAAATTTTACTCCTTCTGGGGATTCTTGGCAAGCATTTTTTTTTTTAAAGATTGTAGATGATAGATAACCTCTTGGAGATTTGGATCGGCAATGAACAGATCATCAACTTCTTATTTACTTTATTAAATTTGTGAAGGAAATACAGCCAGGGAAAACTTTGCTGCTTGGACAAATAGAGAACTGAACGCAGCATTGACTCAAGCGCCAAGTCCAGCCACTCAAGGACTTAATGACACACTTTTATTGGCCGGAGATAGGACAAGAAGGCCAGACATTCTTTCTAGGTTTCACAAGTACAAGGGTGGATGGGATATTGTCAATAAACACTACTGGGCTGTAAGTTGTCTTTTGTTCTGAATAAAATTGAAACTAAATTTTGTCTGGTTAAATGTTCTTAACAAAATTGATTGATTCTTCCTTGTGTATTGTGTCATCTGTGCAGTCTGTTGGGTTTACAGGAGCTGCTGGTTTCATTCTTTCTGTGCTATGGTTTGCTTTTTTTGGATTGGCACTCATGGTGCATTATTGTGTTGGATGGAGAATTAAGATTCCTTTCATGACTAAAGAATCACGCTGCTCTGATAGGGTTTGCCTTATTGTGCTTATTCTCTTCACGTGCACTGCAGCGTAATAATTCAACAACTATCTACTTCTTTTTAAAGACTCATTTGTAGGATCAATCATTAATTCATCTTCAGCCAGCAATTATGTATTCGATTCAATTCGAGATATGGCTGGGGTCACTCAACTAGGTCATAAGGCACTTAATATTGTGATATGTGTGATTTCAACTATATGCAATCTGTCCATTTTTGGGGGAGGGATGCATTTTAAATCATCATTAAAGGAGAGGTTGCTATGGTAGGCGCATGATGCCAACAACATAACTTAGTTACATGACATGACATGAAGGAGAATATGAATATTATCTTTTTAACTCCATTTTCATTTGCCGATCCATGTTAGCCGACTTTAAACTATTTTGGGACTAAGGCTTGGATGTTGTTGTTGTTGCATTCATCAATATCCTTCAAACTATACGACTCCGTTTGGTAAGACCGTAAGACTTAAGTTGGCTAAATCTGCTTAAAATGGTATAGTACTTGCCTTTTTCATTATTAACTAATTCAGCAATTGGAATATAAAAGCTAGTGTTCTGTAAAAACTGGCTGATTACTGTGATAAGCCAAATAACAAGGTTACCAAATGGGCACTACGTCTCTTTGGCATTTGAAGGAAGAAAATTCTGGGGATGCACATTGCTTAACACATCATCATGTAATTGAGATTCTAAAAGTAAAATATGTTTGGGCTGACTGTATGGACTGACTATTTTATGTACTTTATCCACTGACTAAGCCATGTACTTACCTATTTCCTTCTGTGTATACAGGATTGGATGCATTCTACTTTCTATTGGACAGGATAAATTTCGAGTGGAATCCTTGGATACCCTAAAATTTGTTGTTAACCAATCTGACTATGCTGTTCTGACTTTGAGAAATGTGACACAATACCTGACACTTGCAAAAACAGTCAAAGTTGCCCAGATGTTTCTTCCTTCTAATGCCATAGATGATATTGACCGGCTGAATGGGGACTTAAATGAGGCAGCAGATACACTTGAGGAGAAAACAAATGTTAACTCTAGCAGAATTAGAAGAGTCTTCAATCTTGTGTATGATATCCAAATTGGATAAATTCTAAATTATATGATCTTTGCTTGAAATCTGTTCTTGATGATCCCATGATATTTTTTTGCAGTCGCATGGCATTGATCACTGTCGCAGCAGTGATGCTTATAAGTTCTCTTTTTGGTCTTTGTATGTATTCTAACTTATCCACCTCCAATTGACAATACTTTATCTATCTTGACTGATATGTGTCATATCTTCCTGGCAGGCTTATCTATCAGAGGCCATAAACACACAATTCATATGTATGCTTCATTTCATGCTGATTAGTACTCTCTTCACTTTCATTCTGTTGAAATGGGAAACTGATGGAGTCTTAGCCTTGTTTGGTTGGGGATTTTAGGGGGAATGGGATGGGAGGATTTGTTTTTGTTTTAGTAACTTTTTTTTATTTGTTAATCTTATGATACTCGAAAATAAGTAAATGTTAGAGTAGATCATGTACTCATATATATTCATTTAAATAATTACCTCAAATTTGACTAATACATCTATACTTTTCCTACATAAGACTCACATGTTTTTTGTCTAAAATAATATGCATATGGTCCTAAGTAGGGAATACTTCTATTTCTAAAATATTACTACGTATCTATTTAGTGCAAGTATTAGTGATAATTGGAGAAACTTATTATATTTTATTCATTGCCACTTTGCCAGAAAATTTTTCTTTTTCATTTTATTTGTTGTTAGCTACTTAGCTGCCCTTTTATTGTCTCACAGCTGATTCTATTGATGCAGATTCATTATTAGCGGATGGCTATTAGTTTCTGTCACACTTATTCTCTGTGGAGTTTTTGTCATCATTAACAAGTAAGAATTTTAAATTTTAGTAGATATTCCTTTCCCCAAAATCTTTTGGGATCAAGGCTTGGATTTTGTTGTTGTTGAGTAGATATTCCTTTCATATAGAACTAAAACGCAATTTTTCTTCTTCACTTGGGCCATGTTTGATGTTTCAACTCACACTTTATTTTTCATTTTTCCTGTTGAAGTTAATAATGTTAATATGTTATACATAAAAAGTGTAATGTATAATAAGATTTTTTTAATAGAGAATGAACCTTCATGGTCTTGAATAGTTGATGATCATGATGAGTCTTTTGCTGAAGACATTCCGTGATATGACTAAGGCTATGTTTGTGTTTACTTCTGCTTTTTAGAAGTTATTATTTATTTTAGTGATTGTTAAAAAGGCTATTTAAAAATTATTTAAAAGTTGAGGAGAAATACCCTGGTTAAAAACACTCTGTGTAGCTTTTTAAAGACCAAAAATATAGTGTGCTTCCCAAAACTCCAAAAGTAATGGAAAACACTCCTTAACATTGTTGAATATTGGGTTTTAGTGTGATTGCGGACACTTGTGTGGCCATGGGAGAATGGGTTGACAACCCTCAAGCGGAAACGGCTCTTAGCAACATCCTTCCTTGTGTAGACCAAAGTACAACCAACCGGTCATTGATCAAGAGCAAACAAGTCGTTGTTGACATTGTAGATATCGTCAATGCATTTGTAGACACCTACGCCAATTCGGATCCACTGGATCCTCGCAATTCCATTAATTACAACCAATCAGGGCCATTGATACCTCATCTCTGTTACCCTTATGACTCAAGGCTGCAAGATCTTCCTTGTCCAGCACAACAGGTTTCTATGGAAAATTCTTCATTGGTAAGTGCTCATCATATCCTCTTCTTTTTCCAGCATATATGTCAAACGACTACGGTGATATAATTTTTTTTAAATTGTAGGTTTGTAAAAATAATAACACCTCTGTCCCAATTTGAGGTGTTATTCAAGGAGTTTAAGGTTCACAGATGATGAAGTTAATGCTCCCCTAATAATATTTAAATTAGGGATAATAATTAAAGTTCATGTACTTAAAAACGACACTTAATGTTTTATCGCATCTCAAAAACAGAAGTCAATACAATAAAAAATTGTCTCAAAAATCAGATAATAGAAAGGAATTTGTAGCTCAATTTAGGATGATTTATAAGAATTGATAACGAATATATTACAGAAACAGAACTTATGGACCAAAGTATGACCTCTCTAATGCTCATCTAACATATTTGACTGGTGTAGTGAGGGTGGTGATGCAAGAGTGACTATGTAGTTTCTAAGTTTTGATTAATACGGAGTAATATTTTTGAAAAAAACTAAATCTTGAGTTATAGCCTTGGCCTTTTTTTAAAAATAGCCTGAACCCTAAACTTAAACACTAAACCCTGTCCTACCTCTTACCAAAAGTTTTTAAAAAATATAAAGACCTATAAAATCAAAATCTAGAAAGTGTTAAAAAGTCTGAAAATTAAAATTACAAAATAAAAATAGAAAAACTACAGAATATATATAAACAATTCAAAATTTTCAAAAGAATAGTTCTATAAAGTTTTAAAAACAATGTTGATTTTTAAATGGGCAGGTATGGCAAAATTACATCTGCAACGTTTCAGAAGCGGGTGTGTGCAGCAGTGTAGGGAGATTGTTGCCTGATATGTATAGACAGCTTGTGGCGGCAGTGAACATCAGCTACGCTCTTGAACACTATGCCCCGCCAATGCTCAACCTGCAGAATTGCAATTTTGTACGTGATGCCTTCAGAAACATCACCTCCCAGCATTGCCCCCGTTTGGAACGCGAGGTCCGAACCGTATATGCAGGGCTGGCTTTGATCTCTGTGGGGCTCATGCTTAGCCTTGCACTTTGGATGGTATATGCAAACCGCCCCCGAAGGGAGGAAGTGTTTGAGAGGCTCTTCAAGAATAGAGGGTGGTTCCTCTGTTAAGAAAAGACTCAATCCATGGTTTTCGGCGTTTTCCTAGTGATGTACGGTAGATTACGATTTTATTGGCACAAGAGTGGAGTGGAGTGCGCCATTCTTGGGCTGCTGAGGTTGAGAGCCATATCGTCATCTACAATGGCTCTTGTGTATATAATACATATTTTTGTTGTTCTGGTTTACTCTTCAAGTTAAGTTTCATTTTCAGTTGTACTAGGATTTTTACAAAAACTTGTTTAGTGGGAAAAATATAATATCAAAACTAGGAGATGAAATTTAGAAAGAATGACCAATACACGACTACAATAAATAGTGTAAAAATGTAATGCAATCATAGTAATTGTAACTATATTGACTTTTATACTTGGAGTTTTGCAAAACAAATATTAGTAGGGGAATATATAAAGTCAATAATCAAAGTAAGTAGTGTGAAAAAGTAATTTTTATGCGCAATCATCATAGTTAGTCCTGGAGTCGGGCTGGCCCAATCAAAGTAAGTAGTGCTGAACCAGCCCGGTCCGGGTAGGCCCGGCCCGGGGGGTTCCCGGTGCGGGCTTGGGTCACCCAAAAGCCGAACCGGCCCGGGCGATTCGGGCCCGGTTTCGGGTTTTTTTAATTTTTTTTCAATTTTTTTTAACTTTTCGGGTTGAGCTGGATATTTTGGGTCATTTGGGGTGGTTTGGGGGGCTGGGGGGGGGGGGGGGTAATTAGGAAAAGGGAAAAAAATGACCTGAGGCTCGGCTCGGACTTGGACCAGACCCGGTGGCTACACAGGCCTGTCCCGGGCCCACCTATTCAGAACCGGCAGCCCGCCCGGGGCCTAGGCTCGGACCCGACCCGGCCCGAATCCAGCCCTAATCATAGTTGATGTTTTATCTAGTTTTTTGTCTTCTCAAAAAACTGGTATACAAACTTTCATTTTACTCTTAAAAGATGAAAATAACCTAATATTTATTTACAATTACTTTTTACATACACATAATATGAATTGGTCTTTCTAAATCTATTATACTTCTAAATCTATTATAGTGTCTGTTCTAGATAATCAACACTCTTGATTGAGATATTATTCAAATTGAGATATTATTCAAACTTATGATTTTCTCGATCACTAAGGATTAACAGATCACGAGGTATTGGTGATTTTTTTTTATGCATACTTGTGATCGATTATTTGTAAAATGTGAGACAAAGTTGTATTGTAAATTCGACTTCTCAGAAAATTTGGGTGTTTCGTTTATCAATGTTCTAAGCTATATGAATGACACCCTAATGAATGTTTATGTTCAACATTCATGTAGTTTAGTTTATTACTCCCTTCGTCCGACAAAATTTGGTTAAAGTTGACTTGCATATAGATTAATAAAGTAAAAACTGTGTGGTTGAAATTTGTGCAGAGGAGAGAAAAATAACTTTAACCACATATTTCTTTCTTTAAATGAAAATGATAAATTTTTTTAGACAACAAAAAAGAAAATTTGTCTAAGTTTTATGGGATAAAGGGAGTAATATGTTACGAAAATCTTTTGACTTGCTTTGTGCCTTTGGTACATCATTGGTGCTTATCACATCATTGCTGGTCTGGTCTGGTCTGATCTGGTCTAGTCTGATTTGGTCTGGTCTGGTAAACGTCTGGTCTCTGTGTATTTTATAACTACGGAAGTCAAGTCTGGTCTGGTCTGATCTGGTCTGGGACTGAAAACAATCCAAAAGAAAACATCCGTACGTCATGGGTGAATGTGAATGCAGTTGGCAGATGAAAACGCTTTAAGGGCATTTGACGCTATTTGGTTATTAAAGATGTTTTTTCTTGGATGGAAATTTTTTTGATCTGATCTCACCCAATGGCGGACATGCTTTGTTCAAGGGTGTTCAGGCGAACTCCCAAAATTTTGAAAATAAAATGTAAAAATACATGTATAGAATTGATATAATAATCTATATAGTGTATTTTTATACAATGTTTGTTACCTTTAACCTTTTTGCTAGTTATTTGTTGTTGAAAAAAATTACATTTCTTCAATTTCGAGATCAAAAAAACATTATTGTGCAATATTTTAACTATGAATTTTTTTACGCCCAATTTCCGATTGCAAGATCCGCCATTGATCTCATCTGATTTGGTTTGATTTGATCTAGTCTGAATTGGTCTGGTTTTGTCTGTTAATGTCTGGTCTCTGTGTATTTTATAAATATCTAAGTTTGATCTAATCTGGTCTAGTCTGATTTGATTTAGTCTGATCTAATTTAGTCTGGGACTGAAAACGGTCCAAGTAAAAATATGGGAAATTTACTAGGATATGACTAAAACTCAACAAGTTTCACAATTTATGACCTAACTAGTTTTTAGACTTTTCTATGACCTAAAAAAATCTCGTTTATATTTAAAGATTGAATGACGAAAATACCCTTATTTAAAATATGTGCATTTTGCACTAATTTCGTCCAACTAAAACTACTGCACTTTATATTGCCGTTACTGCACGATATTAATGCACGACTTTATTGCACATCCGGTAATAATCACTGTACTTCCGCCAAAATTAATTATCTTCTCGTTTACTTGAGGATTTTTTTTTGTTTTTTTAGATTTAATAAAATTATTATTTTACGTCGAATTAAGTATATTGCATTCCATGATGATATTACTGCTTTGTGTTATTGCAATACTGATCATAATCATTGCACAACAAAATTTCTTAATTCATTCATTCACTACCATATACAACATGTCTATTACCATATATTCACTGCCTATACTCAACACTTATTGAAACGTTCACTGCCTTCAATGCTCATATTTAATGCCCACAAACTCGAAATTCAATAAAATTTAATCAAAGAAGAAGAAGAAGAAGAAGAATGAGACGGATGAATGGGAAGCAGGGAGGGTGAGTTGGAGCGCCTCCATGCTGCTGGATGGCGACATTGGTTGGATGCGGACGGAGGTGCATGGCTGGGTGGCGGTGTTTGCACGTACGCATCGGGACGGAGGTTGAGGGCGGTGTGCACGGCCTAGGACGGCGGCGCGCAGGTCAGGGATGGTGCGCACAGGTCTAGAACGGCGGCGTACAGATCTGGGACGATAACGCACATATCATGGACGACGATGAGGAGCGGCGACTGGACGGCAGACAATATATCGACGTCGGTCGGCGCTTTGGGACCCAAGCCACGTTGCTATTGGGTTGGTGTCTGTGCTCCCATATTGGATTTCTGTGGAAGGCGACGACACTCGACGGCGGGTGGCGGCTGGACGACAGGCGGTGGCGGGGCGGCTGCACGTACAGCTGGGTGTTGGGAGGTTGTAGCTAAGGTTGTAGAAAATGGGTAGGAGGTTAGGGTTTTATAGGTGTAAACTAAAGGGTATATTTGTCCACCTAAATTAATTATTATTTATTAATTAATGATGAATTTTAATTAAATATTATGAATTTTGGTACTCCCTCCGTCCCATTGGACTTTGCCAAGTTCCCTTTTTTGGTTGTCCCAAAAAACTTTGTCACTTTCCCATTAAAGTAAGTAAGTAACTATTTTGTGGTTCTGCTCATTTCTCTGTCATCTGCACAATCTTCAACCACACAATTTTTACTATGCTTATTTCTCACCTAACTCAATTAGTGCAAAGTCCATTGGGACGGAGGTAATATTATTTTGGTAAAGAAACTAGTTAGGTCATACCTTGAAAATTTAAGTGAAAAAGTTTTATCTAAGATAATTACCTCTTAAAATGTTTTTAGTTTATTTATTTAATATGTAAAGGGTGCCTTGAGTTCTTGGAAGACCACAATGCAAGTGCAAAATACATCGTAGTTTATCACGACTTTCAAATTGTTTTTATTTCACAGGTTGTAAATAAAACTGATGGAGCCTCCAGAAGGACCAACACATCTACTCCTTTTCCCTCAAGTACCTTTCGGCAAAAAGAGTGAGGGACTCCTGATGGAGTATATGGCCCAAGAACCCCCGGTCCATAGACTCCTACTTCTCCCACACAAGTCCATGGAGCCCAGAGGGCAACTCAGGCCCAAAAGCAACGGCCCAGGCCTCAAAGTGGCCCAGAATACACACTGAGGTGCCTTCGGCCTCCTTGGCCGAAGGCTCCAAAACTCGCAGGATGGCCTTCTCTGGCATAAGAAGCTACTGGGAGAAAACGGCGAAAAACATAAGCCTTCGGCATTATCAAGCCCTCGGTATCAGAGAAGCCTTCGGCTGAACCAAGCCTTCGGTCATACAAGGCCTTCGGCTACGCGGGGGTCCTTGGTCACATGGAGCCCTCGGCTACACAAGGAGCCTTCGGCCAAACATGCTCAATCATCGAAGATTCCTTTTGGGGGCAGCCAACCACCGCATTTAATGACACGTCACATCCGCCAACCGCATTCAATGCGGTGAACGTACCACTGCCGGTGCCACCCGGCTGATGAGATCCCTCGGCCGTTGGATTACTGACACGTGTACTCTCATCGCATTTATTGCCGCTATAAATAGCAGCCCATTTCTCCTTGTGAACCATCCACATCCATCTCCACATCCCGAGTTCATTTAATAAATCGACTCTCTCTCCTCCTATTTTACTCTGACTTCTCTCTAAGTTATTTCCGCAATAACCCTTCGGATAAGATACCCCCCGGGTAGACTATCCACCATTTGGTGCTCTCGTTGAGAGGTCAGAACAATCAAGTAAGAAACCCTCCCCCTCTACCAAACTCAAACACCTATCAAAAATGGGAAGAACAACTCGTGCCCAATCAAAAACCCTTGAGGAGAACCACGTAGCCCCCGGCGAAACCAACGGGGCTGAGGCCTCCAACTGGCTCTTAGTACCCGAGGGTGGCATCATCCTCGAATTGGAGCAGGCTACTGCTGACCTCCGTCAGCAACTACAGAAGAGCGCCCCTGATGCCCGCATTGGCCTTGATAATCGAAGGAGGGATCGGAGTGAGAACCAAGTTCCCCCTCCGGCCCCGGCCATCGATCTTCAGGCTGCCTTTGCGGCCTTTGTACAAAACATGGCTCTCAATTCTGGAGCCCTCGTCTCTCAAGCACCCCTTCAGCCCTATGCTGGAGGAAATGTTATCCAATTGCCGCCACTCCCTCCTCTATTCAACAATCCTCCCCCGGGGATCGGAAATGCTGAGGGGGTCATGGCGCAGGATACCGCCTCCCAGGAGGCCCAGTCCAGGGATAAGCGCCCCACGATGAAGGAAAAACCCCCGAACCTCTGCACTTGAGAGGCTAGGGGGAGCTCCCGGGCACCGAGGGGTCCAAGACCGCCTCGGGAAACAGGCGCTCAGCAGGCCCCAGGAAAGTGGAGCCTCCGCTTTGGGTGCCGAAGACATGC